GCCAGGGCCTGCCCACCCTCCCAGTCAGGAATTCCTTCCCAATATCCCATCTCTCCCTGCCCTCTGGCACTGGGAAGCCATTCCTCCTTGTCCTGTCCCTCCAGGCCCTTGTGCAAGTGAATTTATTTAGACATATAGGAAGTCTGATTCCTTGAAGACAACCTCTCCCTGGCTGTAAAACTGAAATGATCCTTATTTCAAGGGAAGAAAGCCACTCTCTTAGAAAATCTCCTCAAAAGAGGTTGCAGGTTACCAATGTATAACAGCAAACCTACTCTGCTTTCTGCCTTCAAGTGTTACAACTACGATTTTCCAGGTGATTCAGTCCAGAACCGACCTGCCCCCTGCAGCTGCCCTCCTGGGTGCCCGGGGGAAGGGCACCCCAGCTGCTGGGGGCACGGGGGAAGGGCGGGGGGCCTTACTGTCGTGCATGGGGCTGAAGCTGAGGGTGACCCATGGCGAGTGGCCCTGCCCCGCCTGGGCCCGCAGCTGCAGGGTGTAGTTGCCGTACTCCCAGAGCCAGGACACGTCGCAGTGTGTGGCCCTCAGCCCGCTCCGCAGCAGCTCGAACGTGTCTCCCGGGAGGACGACGCTGCGGGGAGAGAAACGGGATTATGGGACGGGCAAATGGCAACCGACCCCCCTCTCGGCCCACTGCAGAACAGCAGGGCTCTGGGGCCGGCCGGTCAGGGCTCAGGAGCACGAACATACGGATCCAGCGTGTGAGAACCACACGGAGGATTTCATGTGCACCCACAGAGCTGTGAGAGGGGTTAAAATTCTGAGTCAGTGAACAGATGCCCCTACCCTGACAGTGGTCACAACACTCGATTCACCAGACAGGAGTGATCAGAGCAGCCTGCAAGTACTCAGCCAAACCACTGTGCAAGGCACTGCTGTCCAGTGGGGACCTGTTCAGAGCTGTCTCCAAGATATGCATACATGGAGAAGCCAGAGAAAACAGAGCCTGACAAGTGACCAGGAACTGTTTGTAGAATAGAATCACAGAAGGTTTGGGTTGGGAGGGACCTTAAAGCTCATCCAGTGCCACCCCTGCCATGGGCAGGGACACCTTCCACTAGCCCTGGTTGCTCCAAGCCCCGTCCAACTTGGCCTTGATAATATATGATATGATATTTAATATATTATACTCTTTATGGTTTGCATCCAAAGTCCACCTAGGGAGGAAGTGACCAAAAGGTAACAGCTACCAAAACCCAAAAAAATCTTCTTTAAACTAAGCATGAACAGAAGCCTCCAAGGAGACCTCAGAGCCCCTTCCTGTGCCCAAAGGGGCTCCAGAAGAGCTGGAGAGGGGCTTTGGATAAGGGATGGAGGGACAGGACACAAGGAATGGCTTCTCACTGCCAGAAAGCAGGGTTAGATGGGATATTGGGAAGGAATTCTTCCCTATAAGGGTGGGGAGGCCCTGGCCCAGGTTTCCCAGAGAAGCTGTGGCTGCCCCTGGATCCCTGGAAGTGTCCAAGGCCAGGTTGGACAGGGCTTGGAGCAATCTGGGATGTGGAAGGTGTCCCTGCCCATGGCAGGGGTGGCACTGGATGGCTCCATCTGAGAGGTCAGGGAAGGAGCAAATGCTCAGCAGGACCCAGTCTCTTGAATCACGGGTAACAGCTACATGATAAACCACACACAGAGTGAATAACATCCATTGTTAAAAGGTGTTTCCCGTTCCAAAAACAAAAGGTACAAAGCTGCCTGGGGTGTGAAGGCACAGAAAATGCCTCTGCCCTGTTCTTAGCCCAGCAGAGAAGCCTCTCACAAGCTAAAAGAAAGGGGCAGCTCCTCTGAAGAGGAAACAAATCACAGACACACGCAGAGCTGTACACTGTGAATCCAAGAAAGCAGAACCCCAGACCCACCTCCTGTAGCGGACAGTGTAGGTGATGTTGCCCCGGGGGAACCTCGGTGCCTCCCACTGCAAAGTGCTCTGCAGGTTGAGGGAGGTGATCCTGGCGTTCCTGGGCCTTGGCACCCTTCCAGCCACTGCGGGAGCAATGCAAACACACACACACACAGCTCAGCTCCCCCGCCACTCCTCAGCCAGCCCGGCTTCAAACGCAGCTCTGCCTCAGCTGCTCCCTTCAAACCAGGCCTCCTCATCATTAATTCACACCCGGCGCCTCCCGTGCCCTCTGAGCTTGTGCAACACAAACCAGTTACCAGCACCAGTGACTTCCAGTAAGTGTTTATGACACCACCATTTACTGGGCACGGCTGACCTGGCACTGCCCAGCAGCCAGGGCATGAACTCTCCCTGAGACTGCAAACCCAAACGTTTGGAAGCACTGCTCCAGCAGCACTATGGGAATAACAGGGTGTGGGGAATGATAAGCAGAGATAAACCAGAAACACCTGTGAAGGTGAGTTATTCAATATAATAATCATTAATCAGCACTATTCACAAGTGACAAGAACGGTTGTTTTCTTTGCTTGGAACTGAATAAAAGAAACTCCAAAATAGTGTAAAGTATCCATGATCAGTCCATTACTGTCATGATTTAATGATCTTTAAATAATTGCTGGTATTGAAACTGAAATAGAAAAGATTCTGGCTCATTATTGCAACATAAATGAACAATGCAAACAAACCCTGCCAGATGAGATCAGGGCTTACATGTCACAGGTGTCAAACCTGATGACAGATGTTGTGAGATAAATAACACAGTTAATGTGTCTACAGTTCACAGAATTATCAAGGTTGGAAGAGAACTTCAAGGTCATCCAGTCCCTAAACCACGTCCCTAAGGGCCAGTGGCTGCAGAAATAAATGAAATTAATGTGCCAGTTACCCACCTTTGGCAGACAGGAGCTTGAAATCTAACCCGGGCTTAAATAAAAACTATTTCAGACTCAATCCCTACTTGCACCCAACAAATCAACTCAAACACACCGCACATCACAAACACAGAAATGAGAATCACAGAAGGGTTTGAGTTGGGAGGGACCTTACAGATCATCTCATCCCACTCCCTGCCATGGGCAGAGACAGCTTCCATAGCCCAGGTGGCTCCAACCCCGTCCAACCTGGCCTTGGACACTTCCAGGGATCCAGGGGCAGCCACAGCTTCTCTGGGCAACCTGGGCCAGGGCCTCCCTGCCCTCCCAGCCAGGAATTCCTTCCCAATATCCCATCTAACCCTGCCCTCTGGCAGTGGGAAGCCATTCCCCTTTTTTCAGTCCCCCCAGCTCCTTGTCAAAAGTCCCTCTCCAGCCTTCTTGGAGTGCTGCCCCTGCTTTCAGGATGAGGTCTGAGATAGGCATGTAGATTGCCAGGAAAAGGCAAGGCTCCTTTCCCCGCAGCATTTCCTACCTGAACAATCTCCAGGTAAATTGTTTTATTGCGCAATGTGGATGGCGAGATATGAAGAAATACTTCTGAGGGTTTAAGGTTTGTGCACAGAATCCCAGGATCCCTGAGGTTGGAAAAGCCCTCCCAGCCCATGGATCCCCCCTGTGCCCCATCCCCACCTTGTCCCCCAGCCCAGAGCACTGAGTGCCACGGCCAGGCCTTCCTGGGACACCTCCAGGGC